TGGATGGAAGAGATGTCTGCATCAAAGATTTAAGTTTCTCTGGAGGAGACAAGTTTGGAGACAATGTGTCAGTCAGATGTAGTAGGATCACGAGTTCAAGACCAGCCTATAATAAAGGTGGCTGAGAGAAGGGAGGGTCAATAGGGGTGATGGGGAAAAGAGGAGAAAAGTGGGGAGAAAGAGGAGGAAGAGAGGGAGGGAGTCATATTTCCCACCTCTTATTTCATAAACTAATAAAAGATAAAATCAATTTTAAAAATCCATGAAGATTAGTGTTGTAGATGAACAAAAGTAAGATTATAAGCCTCTAAATTCCAACAAACAATGAAAATAATAGGACTAGAGAATAACAAAGGCTGCATCTCAAATGATCCCTTTATGAAGTGTCTCTGTTGCCCTCACTGTACATAAACAGACAGTAATGGCCAAAGCCCTCAAGTGCCATAGTTTCAATGACCTGTAGAGGAAGAGTCCCTGGCAGAGAGTTTGTGACTTAGGAAAACTCAAAGCGTTTCCCTTGTGAACTGTGCTAACAGTCAGGGCATTCTGCTCCAACATAATTAGAGGAGGATATATTTACTAAGAACTCCACTTAGATATATCCCTCAACAGGAAAGCAGTGCTCATCATTCACTCTGCATAGGGAAAAAAGGTTTGTAATTTCCTCCCATGATGAACTGCCACTTTCTATTCTTCCTATATTTAGGGGCCTTAAACAACACTTATTACCATATGCAGGAATGCCTTTTAATTAGAACTTGAGGAATACATATGTGTTAGTATTCAGGCATCTGTACTGTTCTGTCCTTGGAGTTCTGATTGGATACGCCCTCAGCTGCAGCCAATAAGAGCACCACCTGTTCATACTCACCCTGCTCCCTTTTTAAAAGTCCAGACCCACCTCCCATCCCTCTCTCTTTCACCCCTGGCCCCATCTCTGTCTCTCTCTCTTTTTTGTCTCCTCCTTCTTTCTCTCCTTTTCCCCTTTTTATGGTCCCTTTCCCCAATTAAAAAAAAAACCCTTCTGCTTGAACCCATCACCTGGTGTCTCTCTTGAGAGCTGATTTTCTGAAATTATAATGATATGCATATTCATATGAGCATATCTTTATAAGCAGATCTCACACAGAGACTATAAGGCTACAATGAGTTCTTGATCACAATTCAGAAATTTTAAAAGTTGTCCTTTACCTTTGCAAATATAATATTAATATTATATGTGAATGGGGGAAAGACCACTAATAACTGATAACTTTAACTACAAATCTTTATGTAAACAGCATATGCTATTGATGTTGATAATAGTTGTTGGAAAAACCACTTCTAAGGCAAAATGGCACTGGTGTCAAAATAATACTAGTTTACAGAACTTGAAATCTTTTCCTGGGGGAAATCGCCTAAGTAACTAGACAGAACTCATTGTTAGAAAGCATTTAATGATTCCTTAATTCAGATTCTTTATAAGAGTACATTTTCATATACCTGAATCTCCACAAACTATATCTTAATAATAATTAGCTCACTTAGAAAACAGGGACCACCTAAGGAATTAAAGGAAACTTGAAGTAATTGTAACTATGAGTTTTACCATGTTGAAATGCATTGAAAGAAACTGTTCTATTCAAGACAGCCTAGGACGAGTCTCAATACTATAGAGAAGATTCTGTGGGAACTCTAGCTGCAGTTCTGGTGAAATGATAGCCTTAATAAAGTTAAATAACCTATTGCCCTTCCTAGAACTATTTCTGTTAACTACTTGGGAACCAGGAAACTTCTGTTTATTTTCTTCCTTACCAGAACTTCGCTATTGAATACCTTAAGCACAGGGGAGAGAATATTAGAAGACCCATATAAGACAGGAGCAGAAAACAAGGCTAGAGAAGGAGAAAGAAGAGGGGGTAGGGAAAGAGGGAGAGGGAGATCATCATGCACAGGTTAATCTGAAAATGGAAAAAGAAAAAGGTCACATGGTCACACTTAAAAATCCTGCAAAGGATCGGCAGATGCCACCTCTGCTGTACTTGATAGCAGATGGGGTTGATATACATTGTCTCTGACCCTTACAGTACATGTATGTTTAATGCCAGCTGGCAGTTTCTCCATCATCACTCAACCATCAGCCATGCTATAGTACAAGAATCCATCCCACCAACGGAATCTAAAGTCAGAACAGATGGCTGGAGCCCCAGTAGTTGCCCAAACCTCGGCATCCAGCTTTGCACCCTAACACCAAAAGTCTATGAAGCTTTTACACACCGGTATTTTAGATCATTTAAACAAAAAGAAAAGGGTTTGCTTCTACTCTGATTCCTCTCTTCAGACAATGGGAATATCACAAGTGGTCATCTGCTGCATTCCCAAACAACTGACCCATAATAGAAAGGTAAAGACAATCACTCTTTCTGGTAAAAACCCAATACATACAGTAGTGTATATAGAAATGCTGAGTCTGGCATTATTACTTGAAGAATGAGTATAATACACAATTTGCATCTCATTTTCCTACTTTGATTTATTTAAGGACATTGTATCACACATCAGTGAATTGTTCAGTGCATTCTATGATGTCAATATGAAGAAGAAATCCATCAAAAATGTGTGTGGTACTATTCATGAGCAATCAGAAAGAATGATTTTCATGTTGTAGGTGATTAGATATAAAACACAGCTATAGGTTAGCAATTAAATTTAAATATCTGGGGAAATGAAGTGCTAGGTTTGACTGAGAGCCCCTGACTTCATGGATAAGGAGGAAGACCAGCTAAAGAGAATTCTTGACATCAACTTTTGGCTCCATGTGCACTTTCACACACATACATGCATGCCTCCACACATGCAAACATGCACACTATTAAATGTAAACATACCCTGACATTGAAGCATTAACAATGTATAATGCATAGTACTTGCAAAAATTTAAGCAAGAGCATTCTAATTCTTCCATGCAAACCAGGAGGTATCCCAAATAAATACAAGAGGTGTACATGTCTATGGCAAATAAAAGCAACTACAATCCTGTAGAACTGTGACTACAGCACCTCATCTAAGACTGATTTCCCAGAAGTTGATATGAACCTGTACACCAATAATGGTTCTTAGTTTTTCTCTCCTATAGCTTAAATATATTCTTGCTGCACAATTATTTTTACACCATAACATTTTAGCTATCAGAGATAACTCATCTATAATGAGGGGAGTCTGGGTTTAAATATAAGTATCTTAATTTACTGCTTTGCATCTTCTGTGTGGTATTCCAATGGGTGATTGTTTGTATTTGATTTATGTGCCATATAATTTCATGTTTCAAATATCAGAATTCCATAAAGCTAGGTAAGATTGCACAGGCATTTCATTGGGTGAACTACATTATAATTCTAGACCCAGGGACTGAGACCTAGACATTTGATACATTTAAATATTCATCATAAATGATCTCAAGAAAAGAATGTCTGTACTGAAAGAGGAAATAAAGAAACAGTACTTTTTACTAAAGGAGGTACAAATGTGGGTAAGAGGTCAGGGATGGAGAAAGAGGAGACGGAGTGAGTTTTGTACCTAGAAAGGTGAGGGCAGAAAGTAAGGAAGCAGGTAATAAAGATTAGACATTCCATCACCCTTGGCTTCTTGCTCTTATCTCAGCTGAGACCAGAGCAGCATTTAGTCTGATGTGCACAAATATTTTATCCATTTGCCAAACAAGAATGGTACAAGTTTTCATTGAAAGAAATTCAGCAGTGTGAATAAATTATCATAGTGGTTTTCTGAGCCAACAGCACAATACTGGGGACTGACTGTGCTACAAATAAAGGTGGTTTATTTGAGCCGAAGTTTCTAGAGGTGAAAAGTCTCAAGGCTTAACTTCTTTATGGCCGAGTACAGACTTCACATGGCAAGAGTCAGCGAATGTGTGTGTTCCTTTAAGGATCCTCGGCTGCTTCTCTATCTCTTCCTATATAAAGCCACAGAACTTGATATTTGGAAGTGTACTCTAATGACTATCTAACTCTACTCATCTCCCAGAAATATCTTCAATACATGAAGCTTTAGAGGACCCTTAAATGGTTTATATACCATAGCAGACAAAATAAGATCAGTGTTTCCACAACTTTTTGTCTCATCAAGAAAAAGCAAAAATGTTCTGTAGAGTTTGGCTTCTGGTTGTACCTATGACCACTGTTGTCTCTAACCTGTGTTCCCTTATGTCTTTAATCATCATACTTGCTTCTGTTGTCCTCACGTATCAGCTTTTGCCTTCTTTGATTAGTAAAGAAGCCCTTCCCCAGCTGGATCACTAGTCCTTCAAAGTAGCTTCAATCTTTGCAGCTGGTAGTCCTCTACAGAAGTCATGTGCCTTTTCTTCTGGTTGTTCTCTATGCTTTTAGATATATCAACCTACATTTCAAGGAATTTTCTTAATGAAATAAGAATTAAGGGATTGTGGGCAAGCATATCAGAATGACTTGACAGTTCTCTTCTGAAACACTCTTCAAAGCAAGGCATGTGAAGTAACTGTGCCCTTCATTACCTTGGGACTGGTAAAAAACCGGAACCCACTGTATCAGAACCCTGCAGGACAATGGGGCAGGTTGTTGAAGTGGAAGTGATGGTCATCCATGGCAAAAATCGTAGAATCACTATTTTCCCATAAGTAACCAAATAATCCTTTTCTTAGTTCGAAAACACATTTCAGACCAGTTAGAGAAAGCCATTTTCTCGGCTTTGCAATGAAGAAATATTGTATCATTTTTTAAAACCATTTAAACTACTATTTATCTGCAGGTTCTAATTAAGATTCAAGCTTCTCTACTCAAACTTTCAAACTTCAATAGTGAATTCATTGCTGTGAAAACAGATGGGGGACAAGAGCAGGAATCTGTGGGGACAGCAGAGCCACAGATACAAACGCAGAGGATAGTCAAATCCACACTTCGTATTCTCCAAGTCTTGGCCTGGAATCTTGCCTGTCCTTCGATAACTGACTTTTCTCATTCTTTTCCCAGATACCTTTATCAATGAATGTGTCAACCTTTCTGGCATACGACCAGCCCACAATAAGTTATTGTGGGGTCCATCATGAACTTCTCTCCCATAAGCCCTTTGAAACGAATGCACAGGAAGATACGATGGAAAGCCACCTAGAGACTGAGCTGGACCTGAGCACAATCACATCAGCTGGCCGCATCAGTGACCATAAACCACAGCTGGCTTGACTGAGCTGAGTGGTAGCCCAGGCTTGCTACCGAACTGTAACCTCAACGACAGAAACAGTAAAATTTGTTTATTGCAACTCTCAAAAACAAAACAGAAATCCCCTGTTCAAATAAACAAAATTCCAAGATTGGTTCATGAAATAAATGAAGACATGAATTGTTTCAAGTCTATACTTTGTAACTAGCTAAGTTGTGCAGTATTTTTTTTTTTTACTTTGACAGAGAATGTCCCTGAAAAATAAATCACTTTTTTCCAAAAACTCATCCTACCTACATGTAAAAATTGTACAGCGCTAATGTATTTTTTCATATTATAAAGTTTCAACCCTAGAAACAACTGGTATGTACAGTACCATAATTTAATTATGCTTTACTTTATAAAATTTACACTTTTCAGTTTCTAAAATTTTAAATTAACAAACATTATTTCTTGTGTTCTTGAGAGTTACTCGGTTTTGTAGGGGCTGTTTTGTTACTGCATTTGTGCCCAGAAACCTTGACTCTGAAATCTGTGCTGTGCGAACAATGCACGATTTTTATCATTATCATGCTTACTGCATAGAATTTTATCTACTTGTTCCAGAAATAATACATTAACCAAAAATGGTTTTAATTGTTCAGACGTGTAAGAGGTTCTTCAATTACATAGACAGGTCTTTCTTATAAATGAAAAAAAAAATCAGATTTTTTTTTTTAACAGTTCTAAGACTTAACTGTTGCCTTGAATTACAGCCTAGTTTCTAAGCAGTGAAATGTAATGATAAAGAGGGATATTTTAACAAAGTATTTCCGAATGAATGACTCATTATTTCATTCTTTTGAGTAACCATTATTAAGGGTAGGGGAAAGCATGGACCAAATATCACTGGAAACAAAGGTCAAGTAACCACAGCAACAGACTTTGATACATTTCAGAGGTGCAGCTACAGTGACAAAGAAAACTTCTGTTACATCTCTTTATTGTCAGGCCAAGGTGGGAGGATACAGCATAATTGTACAGTAGCAATTTTTTTTCTCTTAATTAACCCAAAGTGGTTTTATCTAAAAATAACCACAAGTCAGTTCAAACTGTGCCTGGTTCTCAAGGCAAGTTTTCATTTAGAAGGTGAAGAAATATTTGGGGAATAACTCGAAGGAAAAATACAGAAATTTTCTTATTGTGTACCACACCTGAGAAAGAATGTTAAAAATCTAGTTATATCAATATAGGTGTGCTTAGTGGAGAAAACTCTCTGCAGAACAGACTAACAGTATACAGTTGCCCTGGCCACATTGTTCATTTGGAGATTTAGCTACAAAGTATCCAAAACAATAACCAAGAGATATTAGACATCAATCCAAATCACATACTGGTTACATGATCTTGTCTTAAACTGAATGAAAATCAAATTAAGAAAACCTGGCTTTCCCATAGCTGAAATTATAACTTGTATCTCTTGTCTACCTGACAAGTAACTATTGGAAGTATCATTAGTTTGTCCATGGTAATCACACAACCTTTTTGTCTTCTTTCCAATGTTTAAATATAAAACTGCAAGTGTCAATCACTGCTATGTGAATGAAGAGAAGTATTTTTCATGATTTAAATTAATATTCATGACATCAAAAGTAGAGGCAGAAAACATCAGTCAAACAGAGGTCAAACACAATGAAAAAATGGTAGAGAAAAAAAAACAGTGAAAAGTGATGTCAAACTTAATTTTTTTATCTCTTCCTAAGAAACACTTTCTTTATGCATATAACTTCACACAGGTTGATCACAGCAAATTTAAGAACATGGCCAGGAAGGAAGAATCTCAAAATTGTAAAGCAAGTATCTGTTGAAATAAAAAGGGAAGTAAAATAATGGGAAAAGCAAAAACTTTAATGTAACTACAAATGTCACAGTACTTGTATCAAATACTTAGCATCCCAAATTTTGTAACATATTTTGCATAAATTATTTGCTATTCAAGAATTTTGTTATTTAAGTCTAATTTTGATCTTGTTTTCCAGTTTCTGGTTTCTTTGCAATGTATTATTCTGATTGTTCTTGATCCCTTACACTGACACATAGCTCTGAACAAGATTTAAACTGGGTTACCAATCTATTCTTTGATCTGAAATCAAATTGAATTTTATTATATAAACCAAAATGTTATTTGCAATGTTTTCCATTAGAAATCATTCTCCCAAATATTCAAAGAAGCACTCATTTGTAAAACTAAACACCTTCAAACTTTCCCAGATACTTAAGTTGACAAATAATAATAATAACAACAACCACCTTAAGGCTCCAAAGGAGCCTTACAAATGTACACCTTGATATCCTGATACAAAGCACTGTCTTTAAACATTTTTAATATATCAATTTTGCAAATTCTTTGAGAATCTCATGTGTGTATGCAATGTATTTTGATAATATTCACCTCTAAACACATCCCCCAACTCTTCTAGATCCACCCCTACATCTATCCCCAAAATCCTGCCAACTTCACACACACACACACACACACACACACACACACACACTACTGAGCCCAACTTAACAATGCTCACATATGTGTGTGGAGCCATCAACCAGAGTATGGTTGACCTACCAGAAACAACACTCCTAAAAATCGCCCTGACTTTCCTCCCCATCATATGTTCCTAAAGAGTTTCATTTTACTTCAGTGAACTATCAATTGGAACAATCACCTTGGAACTCTAGCTGAGAGCATCCTGTGCCCTCAGCTATAGTAAGAAGCCAATATTCTGAGAATTTTGAGATCTTTCACATTTGGAATTAAGCCTAAAAGGTTGTGAAACAAACACACAAAAAGATATTCGGTTATGGCATTTTTTTTTAATTGTTCTGCCTTGTCAGGGGTGGGAGGTAGCTGGTGTTAAAATCTGCTACTAGAATAGGTGGTAGGAGAGACTAGAATCTTTACCACACATATGAAATTTGTTAACATATATCAAAACTTTTATGTATTGTTTCTCTTTTTCAGCATTATTATTCTTCCATTTTTCCCTCAAACCATCTGTCTGGCACCTGCACTCCCCTCCTTGGCTGCTGCTCACTTAGCTAAACAACTAAAAGAGCTCTGGAGTCTGACCCACCACAGTTACAACAGCAGCAGCAGCTGAAACACCCGATAAAGCCAGGCAGTGTTTTAAGGTTTACAAATCTGGTGAATGGTCACATTCTGCCTTTCTAAACAATCCCGTGAAGATACTCTCCTGCCCCTTAAGTTAAGACTCATCAAAGGACACAAAGCTAATGCCCACTAGGTTGAGCAACTCTCAAAGCCCAAAGGTTGTTTTTGTTGTTGTTGTTTTGTTTTTCCATTATGCTAAAGCTCCCTCTCTCTGAGCCAGAGAACCCCCAGCGAAGTACTTAGACTTAGAACATTTAGTGAGCTCTAATTCATCTCAGAAGTCTGTGCACTTCATGATCCAGGGAACTCTCTGCAGAGTAACCTAGACCTGCTCATGATGAACCTTTGTTTAGAATTACCTAAAGTCACACATTTCTTAACACACAAGGTTATTTGTGAGTATGCTGCCAAGATGTGAGACAAGCAGACTCCAGAATGCAGAGGGAAAATAAGAGGCAAAAAAGAGAAACAAGTCTACACAGAGATTGTTTAGTGCTTATAAAAAGTCCATAATACAGAGCTAATTGCACATTCAACTGAGTTGACTCAGAGTTAACTAGAAAGACATTTTCTTTTCCTTTTTGTGTTTGGCAAGTTATTAAACTTTTAAAAAGAACACTCATAATAAAGAAAGAAAGATAAAACATCAGTCATTCAAATAGGTGCTGATGCTAAAATCTATGACAGTCTGAGAATATTTTGGGGTTTATCGTGTCTCCATCTCTGTCCCCTCCTGAATGTTCTTGACATCTCATAAAACCAGAAAGACTTTTAATATAAATTATATTTTGGAAGGCAATATAAGCCTAAATTAACACTCAAGACAAACATAACCCAGTTTGAACTTAGATCTGTCTGCTTTCAGAAACTGCTTAGAAATGGCAAAATTTATTTGCAAAGATATTTTCTAAAATAAACTGTTTAGGAGAGTAAAAATACACTTGGTTTTAACTATTCCTGAATGGAAGAAAGATACCATCTCTCAAACTAAATGCTGAAAATAAGAAACTGAAAGTATGAAAACAGAGAGCTGGTAGGAACTATTACTAAGCTGGAAGAAGGAAAGTCAGATGTTTGGTCTGATAGCACATGAGATGCATGGAGATGCAGAGAGCCTGGCAGATATCAAGCAATTCTCAGAGTAAATCTAGCAACATTTTTATGTGTGTGCTTGTACAGGGGTGTGTGCATGTGCACACATGTATGTGAAGCCAGAGATCAACCTTGGCTGCTGTTCTTCAACAGCTGTCCACCTTGGTTTTAGGAACAAAGTCAATCACTGAAACCTAGGAGAAAGCAAGGAAACTAGACTGTTAGCCATCAAACCCCAGAGATCTACTTAGTTCTGTATCCCCACTGTCACACCCAGCCCTTTTACATGGGGATGACACTCGGGTGCTCAGACTTAAACAGCTAATGCTACACCAACTGAGCTATCTCCACAGCCCATTTCAAAAGTCTGAAGAATTTCTCATATTGAGTAGGAGTTTAAGCAGTCAGACAGGCTTACGTTCCTGGTAGATTGGCTGTGCAGCAAGAACTCAGATAAACTGTTGTAACTGTAAAAGGTTCCAATAGCACCCATTACTATATAAACTCACCACACAATAAATAGACTGAGATGCCAACCACAAACAACCCAGGATTGATGCTTTAAAGACTGTGACATCATCATGAAGGTGAAGTAGACAAGCAACCAGGAACTGTGCTTTGACTTGAAAATGCAATGGGAGAAAATGTTTGGAAAATTTAACAGCAAACACCAGAAGGCTAATAGGTTATTTTTAATGGGGTTCTGTGACTTGCATTATATTTTATTGTGAGGTTATAAAGCAGCTATTTAATTTTTTAAAAATCAGGGTTAAGTTCACATTTTAAAAGGTCTATAGTTGGTTGCCATTCTATAAGGGCACTGAGTGCACCAGCTCTCCAGGACTTATTGAACTCTGGAATTCCTTTCTCTTCTCTCCTAAACATTTATAGATTTTGTTTCATATATCTATCTTCCTACAAAGCTGAATGGAATTTTTGTATGTGTATAAATCAAATTATATTTTAAATGCACAGGAGACCCTGCAATAAAGGATCCTTGCAGTAAACCCTTTTTGTTTTCTACTCTGAAACACCATCAACTAATTCATCTGTAGGAAATTTATCTCCATGCATCTTTGGGTACATGATTTAGCCCCTGTGCTCTGTCACAGGGAATGTTACATGGTGCCATCTTGGGATCTTATCATTATAATGAAGAGGTGAGTCCAACTTCTAAGCTGGTCTGATACCAGTTCTGCTTACTGATTTTAATCTGGATTAATGAGAAAAGTCATATGAAACCAGAAAACATAAAGTTGAGAGTTTTGTATTTGCTTGTTTGAACTATTGCCAACCATCATATCCCCTAAGTTATTAAGAGAGTATGATGGCTACAAATGGCTAGATTTTCTGAGTCATGATATCTGAGCTATTGTCCAACAAATGCATTGTTAATGCATTGCTTGAGTATCACTTGCCAAGGCACTGAGTCTAGAAAAACATTGTTCAAATGGTTTTACCTTTTTCCATGTCATTATATTGCTTTTTATTCTAATTTGTAAGTATTAGCCCTATGTTTTATTGTAGCAGTGTGATCCTAGTTTTCCAAGCCTGACTGAATATATGTCTTGAATAGAAGAATATAAAGCAAAGGGCAACAACACAAAAGTTGCTCCAGTCACTTATCTATAAACTTGTTTGAACATTAGGCTCCTGTAAATCTCAACAGACAAATTTGGGCCTGTGGCCTACTTCACTCACTGTCACCTTTCTGGATAGTACTATAACCGTGTATAAGATGGAGGTAGACAGGGGCAAGAATTCACTTCTGGACATCCCACTCCAAGTTTCCTGAGTGGTGGCTGATTTGGACCCTTTACACTTAAATTGTTTGGTCTCACAGAACGGGACAATTCTGAAGAGGAGACTTATGTGTGAAGGCAAAGGTACTTTTTATTCATGTGATGAAAGAAACTGGAGGAAATTTCCTCTTAGCTGAAAAATTTTACTCCTC